TTCATGCGGCTGGGGTTCGCGGCCGTGGAACCTTGGGCCGCCTGAAAGTCCTCGGTGGTAGGAGCATGGGCAACAGGAGGAGGTGAACGCGGCTGGACAGGGGCAGAAGTAGTGATGCCCCGTATGTGCCTGCCATCGACCACTGGGGCATTTGGAGACGAGGATGTCGGCGGTCGGTGGTCACGCTGAAGGCCAGGCTGAAGAGGAAGACCCAGTCCTCTGGCCGAGTGCTGCGTAGGCTGTTGTAGTGGCTGAACATCATCACGAGGGGGATGCGGGGCTCGAGCAACTGGGGGTTCGCGCGCAATAGAAATCGAAAGAGCCTTCCTTCGATCATGACCGTACTCGTCGGAGCTGGGAGATTCGGGCGGCAGGTTGCGCGCCTCTGTGAGGAGGTCAGTCCAGTACCTCACGTTCGACTCCTGCAACATGATCTCTATCTCAAGGTCCCGCTGTTGGCGTCGTACTGCCTCCATCTTCCCGTTGGCCTTGCTGATCCCGTCGAGCGCTTCCTTCTCACGGACCGACTGCGGCTTCGCAGTCCACGCCATGAACTTGAGAACGGCCAGCTCCTTCTCCTGATGTGACGCGTCTAGCTGGGATACTCGTGCTCGTGCGATAAACTCTGCAAGCACCTTCATCTTGGAAGCCACATCCTCGCGGTAACGCGCGAGACCTTCACGAGCTGAGGGAGGGCCGCGGTAGTAGGGCGATGCCAAAGCATAGGCCGTCGTGCACATGGTGGCCGAAGCGATGATCTCCTTGGCCTCCGCACGAAAGTCAGGGACCGCGTCATCTGCACGTCGTCGCCCTTGATCCCGATGCCCTCCCTGATCACGAGCATGCCCTCCCTGATCGCGACCTCCCTGGTCACGACCTCCCTGATCACGAGCATGCCCTCGTTGCTCACGGGCATGCCCTCCCTGGTCACGCCCTCCCTGATCACGAGCATGCCCTCCCTGGTCACGGACGTGCCCCCCTCCTCGAGACCCAGCACCACGTTGAGCCATCACGAGTAGCTCTGAGATGCCTTCTAAAGGTGGTGAGCCCGCACTGTGATGGAGGTCCAGAATGCTACGTGCCTTGAGGACGCGGAGCAGGGTCCTCGCCGCCCCTCGCTGGCGCCTCAAGCGCCGGTGCCAAGCTGGGGACCGAACCCGCTTGGCCGTGCTCGCCCCTGGTGGCACGCCGCCAGGACGACGAGCAGGTCCGAGGTCAGCCGCCCAGCGGCCGCGGGCGATGGCCCCGCTCGCCCGAGCCCGCGCGCGCGATGCCCCCTCTGGGCGGGCGCGACTCGGGCCCAGGCTGTGGGCCCTCTTCCTCTTCCTCCTCCTCTTCCTCCTCCTCCTCCTCCTCCTCCTCCTTCTCGTCCACGTTCACGTCCTCCACGTCCTCCTCCTCCTCCTCCTCGTCCTCCTCCTCCTCCTCCTCCTCCTCCTCGTCCTCCTGCTCCTCCTCCTGCTCCTCCTCCTCCCCTTGGACTCTCACGGGTGAAAGTCGCCCTGGCGTTACGTCTGGCATGTCCCTCCACCGGGGGAAGGTCCCCAAATAGGCCAAAAATCGTCTGGGGACGATTCTGGATGACTTGTTGGGCTATGTTTGAGGATCTTTTGAACAGGTTTGATTCTTTCCCGCAAGATCCGCATGTAGGAGGACATGCCCAGCCTGAAACTAGTGTAGCCGGAGGCGGTCTCAGCACCCCAACCCCAGGGCGCAGAACGTCCCGTGGCGCTGCTAGGAACGGCGCGGATGGGGTGAGACCGCCACGGACCATACACACATATGTATGTGTGTATATATATATATATGTATATGTTTACACGCGTGTGTATGTGTATATATATATATAGGTATATATAGGGGGTATGCTGCTCCAGCAGGAGCTAATTCCCGTACCTCGGGGGGGCTGCTTGCGCGCAACCTCAAGCCTTGCCAATGAGGATGGGGGGGCAGCAAATATACTAAACTCAGCGCGCGCCGATGATGCTGCAGCGCACCAGTCTCCCGTCCAAGCCCCCTCCTCGTAAGAGGTAGCGGGAACGCCGGGTCACTAAGGGGAGCACCCCGTTCAAGGTGTGTGGCCCCCAAAGGAGCTACAGGATTTCGAAATGCACACGACGATGCCATAATCGTGTCAGGTCGCATGCATTTACAGAGCATTGTGATTTGAGGTTGTTGCGGTATCCATGCAGCTGAGGGAAGTCGAGAGGAACGTGTGATAGGAATGGGAACTCCATTCCGTTTCTTATGTCCAGCTGCCTATTGCAAGTCCCGCCGTCGTGCCCGCATTGTGGGTTACATGCTTGATACCTAGTCGCTGGAATCGTTGGAGGCCTCTCGGGGGCCTCTTGGAGGCTGTTTTGAAGCCTCTTTGGGGCCGTTTTGGGGCCTCTTGAGGGCCTCTTGGGGGGGGTGGGGGGGCGGAACGCTCGAATGTTCGGTTCCTGTTTCCTCTCTGGGGCCCCTTGTGGGGAGCTCTCTTGGGCCGTGCTTCTTGGGCCGTCTTGGGGCGCTCTTAGGCCGTCTTGGGGCCCTCTTGGAGGCTTCTTGGGCCGGTTTGGGGTGGTCTTGGGGACGTCGTAGGCCGTCTTCGAGCGTCGGACAACCGAAACACGAGAACGCCAAAATCGCTCAAAAACGAAAGGAGGCCCTCTGGGGAGGCCTCTTGGAGGCCTCTTGGGGCGCCTTAGAAGCTTGTTGCGCCATCTTGACCATCTTGGGCGTCTTCGAGCGATCGTTCGGAGACTCGGGGCCCTCCTGGACCGTCTTTGGGGCCTCCTGGGCCGACTTGGATGCCATGGAAAGCCCGAGGGATGCGACATGGCCGCCCAGGGGCCGCCCGGGAGTATGGCCAATGCGCGCGGCGGGGTGCGATCTGGAGGGCGGGGGCCCCGTAGAAGATTGCAAAACCCTGCCAGACAACACTTGGCTAGCACGCCTCGACGTGCCAGTGGGCACGGTGGCGGACAAACATAATCAGTTTCCCACGCAGTTGTCGAACAGATCAACCATTTGTATCATAGTATTCAAGGACACCCCAGGCTAAGCACACACACTCTTTGAAAGTGGTAACTGCCCTACACTTGTGCGTCTGCTGCTGGAACGTGCGAACAATGTGGGCATAAAGTATGGTGGTGTGTCCGACGAGAGGCCGTTTCTGATAACGTCCCGTCCCCCATGTGCGTTGTTTTGGGGCTGTCGAGCGTGCGCGGCGCCAAAGGGATAGCCACATGTTGAATCACATGAGCTCGATCCGTGTAGATGCTAGGCGCGTTTCAGCACACGTACGCGACGTGAAACGACAGCCACCAACGTTACTGATCGCAACTTTTGACACCCTGGTTATTGTTGAAAAGTCAACTCGGTGTTCGAAAGAACGACCACCAGCTTGGAGCATGTCTCGTGATCCGTCAGCGATGCACATGGAATCGTTTCGGGCGAGTGTACGCGGATTTGTGTTTGCAGCAGCATCTCGAGAAAATGCAGCGCTGCGCCCGTACAGATGTTGCCAGATTGTAAGACGAATGCGCGCCACGCTGGGGCGAGCACTTGCGTCACACCCGCTGCTTCGCTGGAAGCCTGTCATGCGAATCCGCTCCGCGTGGAGGCAATAGCGAGGTTTCGGCAACGACCTGTCCCCCCTTCCGTGTTTTTGCTGTAAGCCGTTTTCGCAATTTTGCTCGTCGTTAAAAGAACATTTGCGCCCCATCGCGTGTTACACGCGTTGAGTTTTCGGATTATAGTGTAGGAAGGTATGCAGGCGATAAGGACGGTCCGCTCAACCGACCCGCCTGGCAACGAGGAGCATGGGTTTTATGATGATGAAGATGAAAGGGGTGAACAGGAGGACCAAGAAGGACACCTTATCTGATGATGATCAGAATCATCAGCCATGAATGGACGCATTTTTTGTATAACAAAAACGCGCGCCTTAGGCCACGACCTCGACCACGAAGGACAGCACACGATTCAGGACAAACGACCCGCCCAGCGTGAGACGTGAGACTGAATAGATTGCACTCAAACCGGCACCACATTTCATCCGCGCCACAGACAAGAGAATGCGGCGATCTCACGCTTGTTTCAACCACCAGCCGCCCGAATGTGGGCAGCTGGACCACAACAGTGGAGCGCCATACCGTTCACATTCTTAGGAAGGGGAGAGGGAGTGCGGCGGAGAAGGATGTGGAAGGGTAGGAGGAAATAAGGGGGAGGGTCAGACGGAGGGTGAGAAAGATGAGAGGGAAGAAGGCGGAGCAGCAGGCGGACGTGCAGGAGGAGGAGCCCCTCCTCATCGAGCAGCCTGGAGCGTCGATGCTGATCCTTCCTTTCAGTTTCTCTATCCGCTCGCAGGGCATCGCGCGTCGCTGGGAGCGCCGCCGCGACGCTGTCTCAGTTAAAGTCCCCGACCCTAAGTTGTGAAGACATGTCTTATGATGTTCCAACCTACTCGAGCCTTGATCACCAGAAAGAATTTCGAGCACCAGGAAAGTACCGCAGCTGGATGGCTTCCACACGCGCCAGGGCCCTGGGAGGCGACCCTCGCTCGACACCGTTTCGATACTTGTCTGGGCTCTCGGAGTCATTTCTGGGATGTGGTCTTTAAGTACGGTAGGTTCGCGTCGTGTCGACTCGTCGCGACCCCGCCGCGGGCGTTCAAGGTTGAACGCCGCCAGTGGCCCAGAATCGGCCTAATATGGAACGATATGGCAATCGATACGCCGCCGATCGTTCAAGGCTGAACGATCCACGCGATGTCAGAAACCAACGCTGGGGTCGTCACGGCGCAAACCCGCCGTACGATGGGGGCAGCATGAGTGGCATGGCTTTCTTCGGCCGCCGCCCCACGGAAGGTCCCTGGGCCCTGGGAGGCGACTCTCGTTCGACACCGTTTCGATACTTGTCTGGGCTCTCGGAATCATTTCCGGGATGTGGTCCTGAAGTACCTTTGGGAGCAGCATGAGTGAGACATGGCTTTCTGCGGCCGCCGCCCCCGCGGAAGGTCCGAGGGCGCATCGTCCTGCTGTGCGACTGGGCCGGGGGCCAGCTCGGGATCCCGTGGGCCGGGAAGGGCATGCGCATCCAGGACCAGTACTGGCAGAGGAGCGGCGGCGGGCCTCCCCTCCTCCTCGGGGCAGGCCTCCCCTCCTCCTCCTCCTCTCCCCTCCTCCTCCTCTCCTCCTCCTCCTCCTCCTCCTCCTCCTCCCCTCCTCCTCTCCTCCCCCTCCTCCTCCTCCTCCCCCTCCTCCTCCACCCCTCCTCCTCCCTCCTCCTCCTCCTCCTCTCCTCTTCCCTCCTCCTCCTCCTCCTCCTCAGGGCCTCCCCTCCTCCTCCTCCTCCTCCTCCTCCTCCTCCTCCTCCTCCCCTCCTCCTCAGGCTGCCAGTTTGGAGCCTATCCTTTCCCCGTGTTTTTGGCATCAGCTCACCTCGATGCCGATCTTCAGGATGCCCTCAGCTTCTGAGGGCCATCCCTGAGATTGTCATCGCCTTGGGCTTGTCGATCCTAGGGATAGGTATGCGTTCGAGGCTGGTTCTCCCTCCCTCCTCAGGGCAGGCCTCAGGCAGGGGCACGTGGCTCCAGAGCGCCCCAAAGAGCCGCAGGCCTCCAGCGTGTTGGGCAGAAGCAGTGCGGAGCTTCTCCGCCGTTGTTTTGCCTCATGAGGGCCCTCGTCGGGCCCGGGGACCCTCGGAAAACAAATCTGGACTCTGGATGAGAAGCCGGCCCTGGCGCAAGCGTCGGGACTTGCAGGGACCCCGCGTTGAGAAGCACAATACGTCGGATCTCTGGGGCACTCAGGGCCTGCATGAGCGCTCTGCAACGGCCGCTGCGCCCGGTGCATCCTCCAGGCGTGGCGCCTCTCCAAGGTTGTCCTGGCTCAAGCCGCGCAGATGGAGTCGGAGGGTCGCGACGCATCACCGATGTATCGCCGATGCGGCGGGATCTTGGCGTCACCGATCCTGGCGTCACCGACGCATCCTCGATGCATTGGCGATGCGGCGCGATCCTCTGACCCCATCTACTCATGCCCAGTGTGGTCGGCCTCCACCAGTCCGGACTCGATGCCATCCGTACCTGGCCTCGTCTATCCCATCTCGAGGAAAAAGATGGTCATGGATAGACGCATTTCTGCATGTCTGTTCGACACGGCACGCAGATCGGGTCACGCTTCGAGTGCGCCCATCAATGTTCTTGACTGCACGCAGGCGATGGTGCGGCCACGATATGTATCCTCGCCCTCGCCCCGCGTCTTGCTTCCTTCCTCCTCCTGCACCTCCTCTCAGTGAGCCCTGGAAACGACAGGGCCTTTTTTTCCCCGGTTCGGTTTTGCAATTTTGTTGCCAGTTCTGTCGCCTTTTTTTTGCCGGTCCCGTCGCCGTTTTCTGTTCTGGTTCCGGCTCCGCCTGCAAGTCCAGAGCCGTTTTTGCCGTTTCTGGTCGCCGCTTGTTTTCCACCGTTTCAGGAGACGCTGCTTCGGAAACGAGGAGCAAACGGCCCTGCCGTTTCCAAAGGGCCCGGTGCGTCGCCTCCCCCTCCCTTCTCTCCTCCCCCCGCTCCTCCCGGCACTCCCTCTGCCCACGGCGGCCGCTGGCCCCGCAGCCTGCTCGCCGCGCCGTGCCCCCGCCGCACCTGGTGGAGCCGAGGCGCTGCGGAGCGCGGCGTCTGGCCGGCGCGCGCCCGTGGCGGTGCTCGCTCGGGGCCCCCGGCAGGGCAGGACGCTGTCAACCAGGAGGGGAGAAAACACACAGACACAATTAATCGTCGATCCCCATGAAAATATGGGAGAATATGGGAAGTGGGGGGAAGATGGAAACCCTGAAAATCTAGGAAAATATGGGGGATCTTTTTATTTGTGTGCATTTATTTGTGTGTCCTGGGGTCTCTTCAGTCAGCCAGGGCATCGAACCTTCGACCTGGAGATGTCCCGAGGACCGGGCACGGTTTCTCACCACCTACCAAGCCACCCCAACCAGGGCATTGAACATTCCACCCGGAGATCCCGAGGACCGGGCACTGTTTCTCACCACCTACCAAACCACCCCAACCCAACCCGAAGGCCTCCATTTGCCCTCCATTTCCAGCGGGGCGGGGGTCGGGGAACAGTGAAGAAACACGTATGGAACCCATACCCCCCCCAACCCGAAATTCGGGTCTTCGGGTTGAGTTTGGGTGGTCTGGTAGGTAGTCAGTTTCGACCACACACCGGGTGGCCTCCGCACAAGGCCTGCGCGCGACTGGCGTGCGCCGGCCTCCCACTGAAGGGGCGCCGGCTTCCCGGCGGCGGCTGCTTCGTTGTTCGCTCGTGGGTGTACGACCCGCGGTTGCAGTCTTCGCGGGTGCGCAAGAATGTCCTGGTTTGCCCATGTCCCCGTTTACGGGGTCTTGACTCTCTCTCTCTCCCTCCCCAGCTGGCGAAGACGACGACGACGACGATGACGACGAGGAGGACTACTCAAACGGAAAAGCCTCCCACGCACGCAAACAGGTTCGGCAAAATGTATTCTGCGTGCGCGTCGCCCCCGCAAGGGCGGCGCGAGGGCTGAGAAGTCTTCTGTCCCGCTGTCAGAAGGACGCTTTCGCCCCAACGCGCTTGTTCAAGCGTAAGCGGTTTGGTAAAAGCTTGGAGGCATTGCGTGGGCTTCTTGAGGGGCCTCTACGACATCCATCTTCGAGGCCTCTTGGGGGGCGTTTTGGAGGTGATTGTTGAGCCTCTTGGGGGCCTTTTGGGCTTCTTGGGGGGCATGCAGGCATCCTGGAGGCCTCCTGGGGGTGTGTAGGAGGTAATTTCTGAGCCTTCGGGAGCGCTTTTGGGCGCCTTTGGGGGGCCTCTTGAGGGCCACTTGGAGCCTCTCGGGGTTTCTTGGGGACTCCTAGGGCCATTTTGGTGCCTCATGGGCGCCTCTTGGGTCGTCTTGGGCCCTTTGGGGGCCGTCATGGAGCCCTCTTGGGCGTTTCCTGGGCCCGTACTGGGTCCCGCTTATGCAAAAAATACGCTTTCCGAAGGGAATGGGACAGATTTTCCGTCTTTGGGCACTCTAAGGAGGTGTCGGGAGGGTACGCTGGAGGCTTCTGGAGCCGTCTGAGGAACATATCGAGTGTCTTGAAGAAATGTTTCGGCAACTCAGGGCCCTCTTGGGCCGTCTGGGCGGCCGCTGGGTTTTTTGTTGAGCCCGACGTAAGCATGAAAACTCGGAGGTCCGCGCGGATCCGAGAAGTCCGCGTGAACTTCCGAGTTGTTCTGTGTATGCCATTCTTCGTCCCCCTAAAGATATTCTGCAAGATGTTGCAGCAGTGTTTCGTGTCGGGCGTGCGTCCCCGACACTGGCACATGGTACTAACATGTCCCTGTGCGTCCCAGATTATGTCCCTCTCTCTTCCTTCGCCCGTGTGGGGTCTCGGTCCCCGTCTTGACCCGTGGTCGAGTTGCCCGCCCGCGCTGTTTTGAGCCGGCCCATCCGATGGTTGAATGGGCTCGGGAGCGCAAGAGGGCTATGAATTGGGCCATCGCCGAAGGTTGTTACCCTCTCGAGGACGGCGACTAGTCTAGTTGCCGTTGCCGCGTTGCGGCTAGTGGGATCCTCTATGCATTGGTTCCCGTTCCCCACTTCCTCCTTCATCCACCCTTTGCCAGTTTGGGGCCCTTCTGGGATTCTCCCGGGCCCCCCTTGAGCCGTCCTGGGGAGTCGGTGGAGGCGCTTCATCTACCTACGACAAGCTGGTGTCTTGAGTTCGGGGTGGCTGCTGGCGGGAGTGGTACGCGCACCCCCTTCCCACGAGAACAGGAGCTCGGCCAGACGCCCGTTGCGACGTTCGATCGATCGAACTTCTGGCAGTTTTCCTCCTAAATGCTACTCCCTGTCGCACCCCCAGACGTGTCGGTAGGACGGGCCGGACGTTTCGCCTGAGACTTCGTGACCATTTGTGATCCTGAAGTTTGAATGTGTGCAGCGGTTTCGAAGATGTAGGACCAGTGGTGTTCAGAATGTTGTTCTCGCCTTAATGCCGCGGGCATGTGTGTTAAAAGCTTGCAGTCGTTTCAAGACTGGAGGGCGGCTGGTGTTCAAAATGTGGCTCTCGCTTTATTTAGCGCTGGGCACATTCGTTCAAAAGTTCCCAGCAGGCTCGCGGATGGAGAGCGGCTCTTTTGCAAATTGTGGCTCTCGCCTCAGCGCCGCGGAAATTTGTCGTACAGGTTTACAGCAGTGTTTGAGGGAGTCGTTGTGTTGAGGTCCCAGGAGTGATGTTCTGGCACGATTCAGGAATGCCAGGACGCAACAGTCAAGTCGAGTCGCGATGATGAAGTCCCAGGAATGGCGTTCTGGTGCGGTTCAGGATTGTTTGGACGCAACTGTTACTTTGGTTCGTGGCGTTGCAGTCTCAGGAACGGTGCTTTGGCATGGTGAGGATTCTCAAACGGTTGTCTTTCAATGGGGTGCTTCTCGCAATGATTGTGTCTGTAGGGGCCTATGAAGAGGGAATTTGGAGGGATAGTTTATTGTAACATCGTTGATGCGTCATGGATTTTCAATATTTCTCATCACCATCATCATCATCATCATCCTCCTCCTCCTCCTCCTCCTCCTCTTCCTCATCATCATCATCATCATCATCATCATCATCATCATCATCATCATCATCATCACCATCCGTGTTCTCTCTTCCCTCTCCCCCCTTCCCCTCCTCCTGTTGCCCTCCTCGCTCCTCTGCTTTCCTTCTCCTGCGCCTCCTTCCCGCACGGGGACGCCGCAGGACGGGCACCGGCAAGTGGCAGATCGCTCGCCAGCACCTCGTTGCGGCCTGGGGAGGGGGGCAAAGGGGGCGGCGGGGAGGGGGAGTGGAGGAGGAAAAGGATGAGGATACATAATTTTTAAGTATCGGTTCGATCGCCTTCTCTACCGCGCTGATGCGTGCATTCTCTACGACCTCTCGGGCCGCTCTGCTAGTTCACTTGCTCCTTGCCACGCCCGGTTCTGCTGCACGCCGTTCGGTCTCTCTGCTTGGACACATCGCTGAAGTCGGCTACATATTATTGCCAGCGTCCTGGCGCAACATAACACGGAGGAGCAGGAGGAGGAGAAGGAGGAGGAGGAGGAGGAGGAGGAACATGAGGAGTACAATGAACATGCTGGTGATCCAGTGTGCTGTGGCCTCCAGAGACAGTCGTGCCCCCTGCTGTCGGCCCGCCATGTTTGTTGCCCACTATCTCTGGCCTCACCGCGCCCGCTTCTGCGCATCCCTTGTTCTGCAATCTCCGCTCGCTGTTTTCGCTTCTCGCAGGCGATTGCTCGCACTGGATCCCCCATTCCCCGCCTGAGGAATCGCGCCGCTGAGAAAAGAGCGGGAGCACACGCATGCACCGCCTTGGAGGGGCTTTCGGGCGCACCACTACCGAGGATGGCCACCTATCCCCGAGTCGGGCCCCAGTACTTCGCCGGCGCAGCAACCGCGCAACGTCGGGAATCTGTGTCGCCATGCCCTCCGTCAGTTTCCGCTGTCTCTCGGCGACAGGCAGGAGGAGGAGGAGGAGGAGGAGGAGGAAGAGGAGGCAGAGGAGGAGGAGGAGGAGGAGGCACAGGAGGAGGAGGAGGAGGAGGAGGAGGAGGAGGAGGAGGAGGAGGAGAAAGAGGAGAAAGAGGAGGAAGAGAAGAGGAGGAGGAGGAGGAGGAGGAAGGAGGAGGGAGGAGGAGGAGGAGGAGAGGAGGAGGACGACGACGACCGATCGCCTCAGCTGGTCATGCCCCAGAGGTCCCCAGAGGCCTCTCGAGGCAGCCGCGGGCCCGACGGGGGCCCAAAACGTGAGGGAGCCTCCCCGCCCTGGGCCCCGAGGGCAGTGCCGGGGGGCGACCCTTGGCATCTGCAGTCTTCGCTCGCTGCCCTCGTCTCCGCGGCCCCTCGGCGAGAACGCAGGCTCCGCTGGTCCGTGCACGCTGAGCGCCTGCAGTCGCGCCTGCATAAACAAAAACTCCTCCTCCCAAGTAACACCTGGGAGGAGGAGGAGGAGGAGGAGGAGGAAGGAGGAGGAGGGAACAGGAGGAGGAGGAGGAGGAGGAAGAGGAGAAAAAGGAGGAGGAGGAGGAGGAGGAGGAGGAGGAGGAGGAGGGCGGGGGGAGGAGGAGGAGGAGAAGGAGGGCGAGGAATGCGCGGAGAAGGAGAAGGAGGAGGAGGAGGAGGAGGAGGAGGAGGAAGAGGAGGGCGAGGAGGAGGAGAAGGGGATGAGGAGGAGGAGGCGGAGGACGAGGAGGAGGAGGAGGAGGAGATAGAGTTGGAGGAGGAGGGGGAGGAGGAAGGCGCTTCCGCCCGAGCGATGAGGGCATGACCGGCCTACCGCCCGCGGCGACGCCCAGGCGCGGCGCCGGTGCCACGGCGCCCGCGAGGCCACGCCAGCGCACCGCCGCCGACAACACCGCCAAGACGGGTGGCTGCCCGATCGCGTGGCGGCCCGGCGATCTCGGGCCCGGGAGGCCTTGCCGCGATGGGGCCCCCCAGCGACCCGGCGAGCAGCTCGCCCCGCAGGCGCTGGCTCGCTGCAGAAGCCGCCGTGCGGCGCCAACACGCGAGCACCAGAAGCGTCGTCATCCAAGTCGACCCCAGGACCTGGAGCAACAGTCCCGCCGTGGACTACAATGGATCGTTTTCTGATTCCTTGTTTTTCCGATCGGCGAGGGCCCTCGCACCCCCCCGTCCCCCCCCCTCTCTGGAGTAGTTCTTTTCAACCTTCGTTTCACATTCGGCAGTACGATGGCGTGGCCGGCGCAACCAGCGACGAGACCCCGTGGCAAGAGCTTTGCGGGGGCAGGCAACAAGGAAAGAAAGGTTCGCACAGACGAGGGCGAGGACGAGGACGAGTCCATGGAAGAAGTACTGGAGACGATGCAGACTCTTCTGGTGCAGCTCGAGGGACGGGTGAGGACGCTCGAGAACGAATGCCAGACGGCGACACTCAATCAACAGACAAGCGCAGTGGCTGAGGCAATGACATCTAAATTTCGAAGCGTACCTGCAGCTCCGCAAAGACCAGCCCGAGCAAGACCACGGACCTCCAGCATCCCACATGCCTTCAGGAGTTATCAACGTTATCTTGAGCTACGAGCGCAAGGATTCATCACCGAGGTTTTTGATTGACAAGGCAGGCATCACACGACTCCACGGGCCAGCAGCAGCAGCACGGCGGGTTCGCGAGATAGTGATACCACACACGTTTCAGAAACCAGGCAAGGAAGCCAAGGTGCGCATTATGTCCAGCTTCCAAGGAGAACTCGTACTTCTGGGGCATACGGAGCAGCGCGATCAGTTGATGAAGGCGGTGGAGGGGGACGAGAATAACATCCTGCACCAGTCGACGCCAGTGGAGACGCCCATGGGGCATTTCCAGATGCCAGGCCTCTGCGTTCCAGTGGATATCATGACCGTCTAGGCCCTGAGGCCGATGGGAGCGTCAATGCTATCTGGCCGCGCCCCGCGGGGCAATCTAGCACGGAAAAGATCGGGTGGCCGTGGAGGAGGGCGCCGTAAAACATAAGCGAAAGCACAGTTCATCATGGACCTCACTCCCCCCTGATAGGCTGCATCGATCGCAAGCCCTGGGTGGGCCACAGCGGCTACCGAGGCTCGTCGTCGCCACGGCTCTAGAGCTCAAGTCCTGGGTGTGCCATTGCGGCTACCTTGGTTCGTCGTCGCCATCGGTTTCTGAACGCAAATCCTGGTGTGCCACCGCGGCTACCAGGTTCATTGCCGCCGCTGGCGTCAGCTCGCACTCACAACTCCTGGTGGCATGTCACCTCCATTCTCTCATACGCGAGGATCCCAGAGAAATGTCATTGGTTACCATGCCCATGCACATCTGCGCGATGATCCCCGATGAGTGTGGTTGGTGGTGGACGGCTCTGCTGCGGCACGCTGAGCAGCGAGACTTGCCGCAGCATCGATCACGGACACCGCCGCAGCGCGCCGCGCTCGGCCTCCGAGGGCTGTTTGAGGTCCCGCGGCAGTCTGCGGCAGGGAAGTGTCCCGGAGCTGCTCGCTCGGAGTGGACCTGGAGCTCAGCCCGGCGTGGGGAGGCCCGCGGCCACTTCGGGGGTGGACAGAACCCCCAACAGTGACACGTCGATTAGTGAATTGTCCGTTTTCGGTTCTCGAGAGGGCGCCGTGGCCGTTATTTTCCAGGCTTGCGCCCGCCAGGTTTGGGCCTCAGGTCGTTTTCACTAAACCACGTTTTACTAAAGGGGGGTCTGTCCATCCCCGGCCACTGCCCCGCTCTCGCGCGCCCTGCACTTCTCAGCGAATGAGTTTGATTGTCTGGCTGCCGCCGAAGGCCGCGCACCCGTGCTGGCGCGACGCACTGCGCAGCAGCCCTGTGGGCTCGCAGCAGGCGTCGACAAGAGAGGTGGCTTGATGTCGCAGACACTGGCCCTCCACCCGGAGAAGAGCGCAGGACATCGACTTGTTCTGCAGGTGGAACTGTTTGAATGGGCAGCGAGGGAAGGACCGAAAGAAAGAGAGAGAGAGAGAGAGAGAGCAACTCCTCCTTCTTCCTCCACGCATCCCTCATCACTGATGCGCCCTGCTCCCTGCTTCAGGATGCCTCCGTCCCACCCTTCCTCCCTCCACGGTTCCCCCTGTTCCACGATCCGTCCTCCTCCTCCTCTCCTCCGCCTCCTCCTCCTCGACCTTCTCGTCCTCCTCCTCCTCTTCCTCCGCCTCCTCTCTCCTCCCCTCCTCCTCCTCCTCCTCCTCCTCCCCTCCTCCTCTCCTCCTCCTCATCCTCCTCCTCCCTCCTCCTCCTCCTCCCCTCCTCCTCCCCCCCTCCTCCTCCACCTCCCACGGAGCGGTACCCTCTCGCCCCAGCTTCTGCGGCAACCACCCCCGCCCCCCCCCCCCGCCCGCCGCCCCCTCGGGCGCCCCCCTGGGGGGCGCGGTGCGCGCCAGAGGCCGTGCCCCGCGACGACGCGCTGCACGTGCACTTCACCAGCGCCACCGCGCTCCCGCGGAAGGCGCCCCCCCCGCCCGCGCCGCTCGAGGACACGTCAGACCCAGACCCCCTCGCTTGGCATCGCTCGGACGTGTGCATTCTTTCTTCGGCGAGGACCATCGAGGAGCATCCTCGATCACTTGGCGAAAAAAGCACGCACGAAACCGAAAAAAAACTGGGAATGGACGTCCGAGCGATGGCCAGACGACACGTCAGACCCAGACCCCTTCGCGCCGTGAAAAAATCACGTGGGGAGGTTTGGGGGGCATTTGCGGCTTCTGGAGGCCTTCGCCAGGCCTCGGGGCCGACAAGAAACGATTCGGGATGAAAAGCTGGTCCTGGGGCATGGGTCGAGACCTTTGGTGTCGACGTTGTGGAAAAAGTCATAATGGGTCTGGGAAGAGTGACCCTTTGATGGAGTGACCTTTGGTACGGGCCCACTTGTCACTTGGGGCCCTCCAATCGCCAAGCGCGATGCGATGGTCGCGTCTTGCGCGCTTGTGTCTGGTCCCCCGGCGGCCCCCGTCAAGCTGCGCACCAGAGGTCACTCTTACCCAGGGTCACTCATGCGCGTAGCCGAGTTGCGCTCCGACTTCACCGGTGGTCGGGGGACCCCGAACGATGTGGTGACCACACCGCGTGTCTAGGCCTCCCAGATGAGGTCGGAGCAGCTTGGGCTGGAGAATCGCGCCGCATCGTCGGTGCATCGCCGATGCGGCTTGGTGTGGAGCCCCATTTTCTCCACGCCAACGGCGCCGATGCATCGCCGACGCCGCTGGTGCGTCGCCAATGCATCGCTGACACATCGCCGATGCATCGGCGACGCGGCGCGATCCTCCGACCCCATCTACTCCGACCCCATCCAGGAGGCTTTTTACAAACTGAGTGGTGACCACACCGCGTGGTGAGTCCGTGGGAAACGGGGCCGCGTCTCGGGCGGGTGGGGCTCCAGGGTCCTTGCACCGTGCGGTGACGGATCGTTCGCGCGGTGAGGCCTCTTGGGGTTTCGAGGTCACCGCGCGGTCTGTCACCATTTGGGGACGAGAGGCTGTTGTTTTTCTAGATGAAGGCGACAGGCTGCCTATAGGCCTAGACGCCCTCGGCCGAAGGCAGAGAAAAGTCGTTCGGGGATAAAAAACATCCCTGGAACGGCCTCGTGGCCAACCCAGGGCGGAACCAACTGTGGAAAGCCCTGGCAGGGCAGCTCGCAGCTCGCAGGGATCTCCGACGAGAGGCTTTCCTTTGTGTATATATATACACACAAGATTTTACCGGCTCGCTTCGCTTCGCCTTTAAAATCTTGGTCGCATGGCGCCTGGAAAGTTCGCTGCGACCAACTGTGGGGCTTGTTTGGCCTGCTATGTGTCGTGGGCCTCATGGGGGCTCGTGGGGCTCGCGGGGCTTGAAGGGTCATAGTGGTTGCTCGGTGGCCGCGGCTCGCGGACGTCATGGGGCTCATGGAGCGTGAGCTCGTGGGGCCCGTAGGGCTCGTAGGGCTCATGGGGCTCACAGGGCCCATGAGGTCGGAGGGCTCGCGATCGACTCGTGGGGCGTGGGTGGGGCGCAAGCGTTCGTGGGCACACAGGGCTCACGGTGCGCGTAGTTTGTGTGGTTCAGAGGGGTCATGGGGCTCACTGGTTTCGCCATGCGCGTGGGGCCTACGGGGTTCCAGGGGTCAATGGGCTTGTGGGACTCGCTGGGTTGGTTGGGGAATAGGGGTCGGACGCCTAAGGGGCGTGTAGGGGTCATGGGCTCCTGGGGCGCATGGGGAGCGTAGGGCTCGTAGGGCTCGTGACCTCGTGGGGCTCTTCGGCCTCGCGGGGCTCGCGCGGTTCGCGCGGCCTTTGAGCTCGGATGACTCGTCGGGCTCGCAGCGCTCACCGGGATGATGGGTTTGTAGGGCGCCCAGGGCTCGTGGGCTCTCTGGGCTCGTAGGCTCTCTGGGCTCGTCGGGCTCGTGGGGCTTGTACGCTCGTAGGGCATGTGGGGCTCGTAGGGCTCGCAGGGCCCGTAGGCCCGTAGGGCTCGTGAGTTCGTGGGCCTGTAGAGCTCGTAGAGCCCGTAGGCCCGTAGGGCTCGTAGGGCCCGTAGGCCCGTAAGGCTCGTCGGCTTGTAGGCTTGTAGGGCTCGTGAGCTCGTATGCCCGTGAGGCTCGTAGGGCTCGTATGCTCGCAGGGCTCGTGGGGCTTGTGGGCCCGTGGGTCTCGTGGGGCTTGCAGGGCCGGTAGGTCCGTAGGGCTCCTAGGCTCGTGAAACTCGTAGGGCTCGTAGGACTCACGGGGCCAACACGCTCGTAGGGGTGGTAGGGGTCGTAGGGCTCATGGGGCTCGTAGGGCTGAAAGGGTTCATGCGGCACTATGGGGCACCGTAGGGCGCGTCGGGCTCACAGGGCTCGTAGGGCTCATGGGGCTCACAGGGCTTGCGGGGCTCATGGGGCTCAGAGGGCTCGTGGGACTGGAGGGCCCGTAGGGCTCATAGGGCGCGTAGGGCTCGTGGAAGTCGTAGGGCTTGTCGGGTTCATACGGCGCCCGGGGCTCGCGGGTTTCATAGGGCTCGTAGGGCTCGTGGGGCTCATGGGGCTCGCAAGCGTCTTAGGGCTCGTAGGGCTCGTAGGGCTGGTTGGAGTCAGTGGTGTCGTAGGGCTCGTGGGGCTGACGGGGTTCGTGGGGCTTGTAGGTGTTTGGGTTCTCAGGGCTGAGAGGGCTCATATGGTTGGTAGGGGCTGTAGGGGTAACTGGGGTCGTAGGGCTCGTAGGGCGTACAGGGCAATGGAGGGCTCATGGAGCTCGGAGGGGATATAGGGCACCGCGGGGCTCGTAGATCTCATAGGGCGGATGGGGGTCGCAGGGGCATGAGGAGCCACAGGGGTCGCAGGGCTCATGTGGTCGACAGGGCTCATATGGCTGGTAGGGTTCATAGGGTAATTGAGGTCGTAGGGCTGGTAGGGTTCACGAGGCTTGTAGGCATTAGGGCTCGCAGGACTCATAGGGCTCGCAGAACACATAGGGCACTGCAGGTCTCGTAGGGCTCGTTGGGGAAAGAGAGGTCGCAGGGGTCCCGGGGGTCATAGGGATGTTGGGGCTCATATGGGGTCTTGAGTGTCATAGGGCTCGTAAGGCTCATAAGGCTGAAGGGGTTGATAGGCCCGTAGGTCTCATGGGGGACGACAACGGCGGCGACGAAGACGACGACGGCGACAATGAAGACGAGGACGAGGGGCCGTAGAGCTCATTGAGCTCATATGGTTCTTGGGGCTTATATGGCTCATAGAGTCTTCAAGCTGGAAGGGCTCTGAGGGGGCAGAGGGCAGGAGCCTATGTACGGGGCAGCGTGCGATCGGAGAAAGTGTCGGCTCCTGGACCGAAGCCAAAACATCGGCGACGTAGATGTCCCCCTGGGTGGCGGCGTGGGAAGAAAAAATCATGTGGAGCATGGTAGCGGAAAGCAATGAATATGGCATGTCGGGGCCTTCGTGGGGCTCCTTATGGGGCTCTTTTGGGCTGTCTGGCGGCTCTCCGGGGTTGTCCCGAGGTCCCCCGGGGTGGCGGCGTTGGAGACAGAAACAGTGCGGAGCATGGTGGCGGAAATCAAATAATATGGCATGTCGGGGCCTTCGTGGGGCTCCTTTTGGGACTCTGTTGTGCTGTCTGGCGGCTCTCCGGGGTTGTCCCGGGATCCTCTTGGGCCGTCCTGGGGAGATTGGGCCATTTTGGGACATTCTTGGGTGCCTCTTGGGGCCTTCTTGGGGCTCTCTTGGACGCCTTTTAGGGCTTTTGGGGCTGTCTTGGAGCTCTCTTGGGCCGTCTTGGAGCCCTTTTGGGCTGTCTTGGGGTCCTCTTGGGGGTATCTTGGGTCGTCCTGGGGCGATCTTGGGGGCCTCTTGGGCCGTCTTGGACGCAGTGAAGGCCACAGAAGCGAATATGGTAAAATTGTAAGTTTCCAGAAGGGAATGGGACGATTTTTGCGTTGTGGGGGTCTCCTTGGGGGCGTCTTGGGGCGTTTTGAGAGCGTCTTGGGCCGTCTTGAAGCCAACCTGAAATCTTGTTAAGCGCTCATGGGCCGTTCTGGAGCGGTCGTGGGCCGTCCTCGGGATTTGCGGGACCGTCCGGGGATAGCCGGGAGAGGCTCCCGAAGCCGAAATTCGATTTTCACGTCGGTGGGAGCGCCCAGGGCCGAATTTATGTACGGGGGGGGGGTCAGGGGGGGTTTTCCGCTATAAGAATATTCGAAGAGGAATATACAGATCGACCGACTGGCCGCGCTCGGCCCGACATCTCGGCCCGGCAGCTGGATCGATCCATGCTCCTGGTCCCCTTCTCCCTCCAGCTCCTCTTGCCTTCACCTGGGCGCGTGCGTGGCGACCCCGCCGGGGGACCCCGAGGGCCACTCGCGGCGCAGCCTCGGAGGCCCGCCCAAACCGCCACCCCCCAAGAGGGCCCTTCGCCCCGGAGCCGCCCCCCCCCCCACCCTCGGGCCGGACGAAAGGGGGGGATAGGGAAAGGGGGGGTTGCGACATCTGCTGCATGCAGCTGGTTTCGGCCCCGCCGCCAGGCCCATTCCTCGATACATGGGCGCCTCCGGCGCCGGGAGGCGCCGGGAAAATCAGCTACGTGAGCTGATTCTCAAACCCCCTTTTGCTATTCCCCCATTTCGCCCGGCCCGACGACCCCACCCGCCCACACCCTGGTGAGGCTGTGGTTCTTTCGACTCCGGCAAGTTCACTTGCATGGAGGGGGAGGGCGCGGCGGGACCCGATAAAGGAGATCCGGGCTTCGCACAAGTCGGGACACACAGTCACACCTGCACGCACTTTGGGCCAGCCGTTGCTCGAAAAGGTGGCGGAAGGGGGGGGGGGGGGGGGGAATGCCCTGAAAGTAATGTTGCCTGAGTCTGGCAAAGCGCCGTCCGATCTGATTGCTTCAATCCCGCAGTGTTTCCTCGATGTGGGCCCCCCTGGGCCCGTCGTCCCGCGGGGCCAGCCAAAGCGGATCTGGCACGAGAACCTGCCCCCGAGGAAGGGGC